AGCCAGCTCTCCCTGAGCACACTTAGCCAGCTCTCCCTGATGCACAGTCAGCCAGCTCTCCCTGATGCACAGTACCTTCCCCGTTTTCCATACATCAGACTCTGCCACCTTACCTTGCCTGCTCATATCTTTCTCTCTTTTTTGCCACGAGGGGTTGTAAGTCTTCCCTGGCCACCAACCCACCAGTTCTTCCCAGTTCACCTGCTCATCCATTCTCCACCAGTTCCTAAAATACAGCCCAGATGCTTTAAATGCCCTTTACTCTGCCTGGTCGCTCTATAACTCCTGGTGTTCTGTCATCATGTCTCCCCCCGAAGGCCTGATGCTCACCTTAGCTACATTCTTTCCTTTTCTTTTTTTGTCTGTGTCTTCCCTACAGGAATTTAAGCAGTAATCTGCCCAATGTGAATCTGCCAAACGTGAATCTTCACATGCCCAAAGTACCAAACCTACCCGTACCGGTTAACCTTCCACACGTGCCTAGCATTTCCACGCCGTCATGGATGGGACCCTTGTATGACTTCCAGTGTGTACTGAGTTCATGTATAGATCTGGTTTTGCGGCTGATGTTGGCTTGAAGATGGCTTCCCCTGTCTGATCACTCATCAGCACAATCATAGGTTGATTTCACTGGAAAGTCCAAGCTTCATTATCTATGTATCCCCATGGGCCTTGGTGACAACTGCCAGCAGGAATCTTAATGTTACTCTTAATGTTACTCTTAATGTTAATCTTAATGTTACTTACTAAAACGTTGCTTAACCTGGCTGCTTAACACACCACCGTGGGGTAGTACACTCTGCATGAGTAAGATGTACTCAAATCAAAGACTGATATTAGAGTGCAAAGCGAATTGCTAATTTAATTCAGCGTTACTGCAGTTCACTGTTATTTTATCTGTATTTCTGACTTACTTTGCACACGTTAGTTACTATTTTTAATCTCATTACCTCCTTTTCTAAATGGAAGCGGAACTTTCCTTACACCCCAATCAGAAATTAGATCAAAAAAATTAATAAAAACACGCCCTCATGCTGGGTAAGATCCTGTTGCTTTATGATTTCAGGTTTGTATTCTCTAAATCCAGTTGGCAGTAAGAATTTCACACTTAACAGCCCCTGCCTGACCCCCCCCCCCACAGAATGCACTGTTTTACATTAACATGCATATGCATTTATATACATACACAATTCTGTATTGCCTGGAATAGCTAAATATAGATCCAGATGAGGGCTGGGGATCTGTAGGTGATACCAACCATTACGAACCTGGGCTTACAAATTAGCCCCTGTACTCCGAAGTCATTTTCTTGCCAAACTGGCAGAACCAGAGGACTAGCTGGGTTCAGTGGCAATTTACAGTGGAGAAGGTGACGGCTAATTTTTTTTCTCCTTGCATGATGCCTAACTGTCGGGTGGAAAGATACAAATGCAGCTGTAATGCAGATAAACCGTGCGATTGGTCTCTGCTCCTCCAGGCGTCATTTGCGCTTTTCGTAGCCAATACCGTCATTCCTGCGTCTGTCCTCACAATGCACTGCAAGCCCTGCAAGGCCTCCCACCTTTATGCTCTGCCACTGCGAGACGGGGACGTCAGGCTCGAAGGAGAACAGAAGGGATGTGATTGGAGAAATGAAACTGCAAAGGTGATTTTGTATCTTTCCAGCATCTCCTGGTCTCCTCCACTTGTTTCAGGAGGCCCCCTACTTGTCACCGAAGCTGCTGTCAAAGGCCGCGTTGGCCGTAGGATAGTCGTACAAGAGGGCACTGCCTCATGAGGCCAGTTGCTGGGCGGGGGGGTAGTGGCTTGGCATGCATGTGGTCCTCCAAGGCACCACTTGGTCATCTTTGTGTATCAGACGGTGCCCTGTTGAGACCGACCCCATCCTGAATAGTAGAAATATCCCTCAAACACGTACATGTTTCTACTGAGGATGGCAATAACCTTTGAACATGCATGGTGCGTGAAACACGCTAAGCAGCTAACACCTGGGGCTTGACTGGGGCGTGAGAGAGTCTTGCTGTTCCGTCTTCTCATTGGAGCAACATGACACACACGTCCAGCCAGTATGGTGGCAGATGAGAGCGACTCGTTCACAAAGAGCCCAGTGCTTGTTTTTAATGGTGCAGAAAGTGAGCCAGTCAGTAATCATCATGACCCAAAAGAGTCCTCTGGCAATGGCACGGACATTAGCCCGAAAGGAACGGGCAGCGATCGCAGGCAGGCGCGCTCAGCACTGTGAAGCCCCCGGCGACCTCAGCTCACGCCATTATGCATGAGTGACCTGCTCACACGACCCGCTGTGTGACGGTCACCTGCTCTCCTATTATTTTTGCCATTGACAGGTGTGTGATTTAAAAGAAATGTTAATAGTAATGAAACCCATTATTAGATTATCAAAGCCTGTTTCACGCAAAACCATAGCTATCAGTCAATGGTAAAAATAAGGAACCCCCCCCCCCCCCCCAAATTGCGGAGGTGACAGGGATCAGAGCCCCACCGCAGTGGCCTCCTCTTCTGTCCTGTGTTATGGTTCCCATGGACACCAAAGCTTGGCTCTCAGTTTTGACTTTCTCACCTTCCTGCCAGCAACGGCTCAGGCACCTCTGAGGACCTCTTCTGGAAGCTGGACGCACTGCAGTCCTTCATCCGCGACCTGCACTGGCCCGAGGAGGAGTTCGGCAAGCACCTGGAGACGCGACTGAAGCTCATGTCCAGCGACATGATTGAGTCCTGCGTGCGGCGGTGAGCCTCGCTCCGCCGGTCTCTGTGCCGGTCTCTGTGCTGGTCTCTGTGCCGGTCTCTGTGCTGGTCTCTGTGCCGGCAGTGATAGCATACACAGGCCTGGTGCTTCATCTCTTCGCCGTCATAGAAAGATCATGTTCATTTTAAATAGCGCTGCTGTCCAATGAAAACGAGAAAATCTGTTATTTCAGGAGTGAGAAAAAATGCATTTTCTCAGAAACTACTTACTGCAAAATAAGCCTAAAACAATGTAATGAGACGCCTTTAGCACCAAAAACAAAAATGCATCTTTACACAGCCGTCACTGAAAGGTTTGATGTTCTAAAGGGACTTACATGCAGATCTTCATTTGTGTACCCTCGGACCTACGGCTCTGCGCCCTGCCGCCTCACATGCTACACCCAGCATAATTAAAATTAGAGTTGAACTTTATTTTAATGCAAACTGAACTAATGGAATGTATGACGATAAACCCCATTGTGTCGTATGATGTTTCGACATGCATCTGCCTAAATGAGTGTCTTGCTTATCTGGCTTTGGATTTGAAAAACATGAACCACACCTCATGTGTGCTGAAAACATTTGTATTTTAATCAATGATGTTGTTACCATCTAAACCATTTCACCCATCAAATAGGGTAAGACTGTGTTGCATTTTGATCTAATTAGGCAGTAATTATTGTTGTTAAAGACTGATTTGCGTGTGACATCACTCAGA